CTCAACTCCATAAGAAGTCTCTTCACAGGCCGAACTCATATCTGAATTTGCTTAATTGGTTCTAACTTCCTTACCATCTTCATTAGTGTATACCAAATTTCCCGATTCGATATCTTAGCTACCACTTGGTCTCATCCGAATGGTAATTTAACCAAAACCATACTCCTTCAGGATTTCCAATTACTTCGCTGTCTCATATTTGACTCTCTCTCAAATAAAACAAATACCTTAAGGTCAGTAACCATCTCAAATCTCAACTAAACAATTGAGGCTTCCAAACTCTGGTACAAACACACAACAGCAACCCACTCCAAATTACTTGTCAGATAATCCCTCTCTGTACTTTATATTGCCTTCAAGCATAACCAAAACTCATTAATGTTGTACTTAACACATCTCTTAATTATATCAACAAAGTATCTCAAAACACAACGACAATCCTGTCGGACTTGGCAAAACCAATACGCGAACTGTTGACAGCTTTCTCAAAACTCTTTGAACTTTCTTCACAGTAGTACATCACTGCCTCTTCCCCAATACTAATAACTCAAGTTCCCGACGCTCAACATGAACCCCTATACTCTCCGAACATATCCGAACACCATCGGTTACATAACCATTGACTCTCTCAATCAAGTGTGGAAAATCATTATACCAAACAGACACTCAGCTGCGAACTCCTGGTGATAACACAAACCGCACTCTCCGCGCTTACCATAACATCCAAACATTTTTCGCCAATAAATACATAATTCCATGTCACTACTTTCCCATCACATAGAGCACTGTAATATCTTCCAACGCTTCTAATCTTGCGTCATTCCGAATTACGGTTTTCCGTTACGACAAAATCACGGAAACAACCCTTCCACACTCAAAGGTCATCCAATACCTCTCCAACTCTTGAAATGCTTAAGGGTCCGATTATACCAACCATGTATTCCATATCTCATTTCCTTTAGTAATCACGAGAAGTCATTATCCACCCTTATACTTGACTCCACAATCTGTTGCCGTAACACACACACCGGACATAATTCTCAACACTACTCAATCAATCTTAATTCCTTGGCCACTCAAACAAACGTATAATATGGAGCTTCCAATATCTGATTATTCTCCGCAACTAAGTCGATCACAACTCAACTTCACGTCTTGGCTGTTTAACCCTTATCTTGTCAGGATAATTCTCAGAATACCACAATCAAACGGTAAACCGACAACTCCTCCACTTCCATCAATACTCAATATTTCCATCGAAATCAAACATCTCATCACTGTCCTACACCGACTCATCAAAACAACTCTCAAGTGCTCGGCTTTACTCAAGACGATTCACTGCACCACGCCATCTAAGCTTGCAAGACACATCTATCCCATCCAACACAATCCCAACTACTATCAACAAGAGATTAAGGGTGATCAGTTCCTCAATTTGTCAATAGGCAGCTGAAATCATGATGGAGTATAGACTATCTTTACCAAACCACAAGAGTGTTAACCACCCACTGAGCTACAACTTCTACACCTGCAGCATCTTGGAGAAACACAACTTCTCCCCCACTTAGATCATTCCCACTTCTCTAGACAAGGTTAAGCAACAACATGTATCGACAGTGTTTTCACACACATGTCGCATACAAGGGAACAAATAACATTAGACAACTTGGCCGGACGGACCGACCTGCTCTGATACCACTAATGTAACACCCTTCTAAACCCCACGGAAAATATATGCATAATCAGAGTAAAATTAACATGCATCCAAATAAAAAGGGCGTCACACAAAACTTGCACCACATCAAAACAATCTGTCATGCTCATTAATATCTCAATAAATAATCATGCTTTACAAAATTTCAGTTTGCATGCAGCAGCGGATTCATTAATGAAAATCCTTTAAAAGAAAACATTTACTTTCATCATATAAAATCAACATCTCTGGGCACTAAGGCCAACATCTCATTATCCCACTTACTCCAAATATGAAAACATAACTTAGGTTACATAATGTAATTCTAAAACATAAGCAATCGATCCCCGTGTTACACTACCAGAGCATGACTCGACCCACAATTAATTACTAAACCGCTACACACGTAGCGACCTCGAACTACAAGCAGAACTTCATAAAGGCCTCCAGCAACCTAATCTGCAATGCCTCATAGAGCATTATAAAACAGCAGAAGGGTGAGAAATATTACCATAATAATCAAAGCATAAAATCATGTATATATAGGTATCCTATAACACATATTCACATTTCTCACCACACTTCATTCTCATAATCATAATCATATCACGTTCACATATATCAACATTATGAACATCCAAAAGCACATCCCTTCATGCTTAATTTCACAATCATTCACAAGCACATTTATACAACAACAATATTATGCAATGTGACTCAACATATCCAATGCAACTCAATGCTATGCGGTACCGACATTAGTTATCTTTTTTCGGTTTTCACTCTAACCGGGTCCACCCTTCTAGACCGATAACTTGTTATCATTTTTCGGTTTTTACTTTAAACCGGGTCCACCCTTCTAGACCGATAACAACCAAGCCCGTCCCCTAGGCTTCAAACCCACCCTTCTAGGTTTGGGACAAGCCACTAGTTTCCACGAAACTAACAGACATTGCCTCTTGACTGAATGATGCATGTACAATCAACCAATCACAATAAATGCACTTAAGACCGTTCCCGCGTCTTAATCCCATGCATTCGAATAATTCACCCCTTCGAGAATTTCATTATGATTGCACATACAACATATATCAAACATTTATCAATGTATTCATTTCTCCCATCATCATCATCATATTCAACAACAATGCACACATATCACATATGTTCCCATGCATTTACACAACAATCGCATACAAATATGCACTCACAATTCATTAGACAATACACATACATTCATCATTATATTCCCATGTATTTGAATAATTCACCCCTTCGTGAATTATATCATGATTGCACACACAACATGTCATAATCATCATCAACGTATTCATAATTCAATATTATCACACAATGCACACATATCCACGATATGTTCCCATGCATTTCTCACAATTATTAACGATGCACACATATCCATGATATGTTCCCATGCATCTCATACAATTATTAACAATGCACACATATCCGCGATATGTTCCCATGCATTATCCACAAATATTCACAATTCAATACAACATCATATTTAGCAAGCACTGCACGCATATCCATCATTATGCTCTCATGCATTCTTCATGTATTTTTAACATACAATCGCATATAAACAATATGCATCCACAACACATTTTTCATAGTATGTTTATTCTTTATCTCATGCCATCTCATACAATTATAAGTTATGCACACATATTTCCACAATATTCTCCTGCATACTTATTGCATAATTGTACACAACAATCAAACATTCACAAACTCATCAATTAATACACACCTAATCATCATTATGTTCTCATGTATTTTAACCGATTACAAGTAATCATTTATATCACAACTCTAGGATTCACGCCCGAAGGCTACCCACAGCACATGTTATCATAATAGTTCATATACTCATTCATAACATAAAAGTATTAACATATGCGAATCAACCAACCAATCACCATTGGATAACACAGCAAAGAAATATACTGCCACATTCGCCTTCATTCGCCTGGCGAACCCTCGCAGCGAACCTTCGCCTGGCCTTCGCCTGGCGAACTCTCTCAGCGAGCACTCGCTAGGCTTCGCCTGGCGAGACTTCCCAGCGAGCCCAAGTCAGTAGCTACTGACTTCATTCGCCACCATTTGCCAGCACCTTCGCTGGGCGAACCTTCGCTGTCCCACTTCGCCTGGCGAACCCACCAGCGAAGTCTACTGGGACTTAATTATAATTATTCGCCAACATTCGCTAGGCTTCGCCTGGCGAAGCTTCGCCTTCGCTCGCCTGGCGAGAGCCAGCGAACCTGCGCAGAACAGAATCCCCTTCTGTCTTCTCCCTCACCAATCCATCATCAACCCTCTCTTACACATCCAAACCAGTATAATCAGCATCAATACATGTTACCCGACTATTCTACGACATTATTACTCAGTTCCAACCGATTAAATCATCAATCTACCGATTAATCCAACATTTGCCCTAATTGGAAAGTGATGAAAAACATCCACAAACCCAAACCCAACATACATAATAGCATACAATGATTAAATAGCAATGTTTCTCACCCTTACCTCGATTAATCGGAGCTTTGATGTTGGTTCTTGATGATCCTCCAAGTTTTCCCTTTTTCCTCTTCATTTCTCCTCTTCTTCTTTCTTTCTCTTTTCTTTCTTTCTTTCTATCTTTCTCTTTCTCTCCAATCCCCTTTTTATATCCTTTTATTTCTTTTCTTTTCTTTTCTCTCTATCATTTTCTTTCCATTATATTTACTTTCTCAAAACATCTATCAATCCCTTAAACAAACATCTAATTATTCAAATAATTAGAATAATCCAAATAAATCAATTAATTAACACAATTAATTATTTAATGAAATTTGGGCTGTTACATATATCATATATCATATCTTGCAAACTCATAATATTTTTACAGAGTCATAATTCATATCTTATTTAACAAAATTCAACTGAGAACAATATGTGAGCCACCAGTAAGGCATATATGAATTACAGAAAGTATAATACCTGCTTCACCAAATTTGCTCTAATCACAGGAGTCACCATTTCTTTCTTGCCATTCAACTTCCCATTAGTCTCATTCGCTGAAACTATTATTTGTTTTAACTTGTGCGTATATTTCACCTCAGTAGATGAGAGGCATCCTGTTCCACAGAATGAGTCGAGGCACTACCATCACTGATTTGCTACAGCAAAATGAGCAGAATCAAAGCTTAGAAATGCTTATGCAAGCCTCCACTTCTGTTGGTATTCACTTTTCACACAAGAAAATGATACAAGAAAGTAAAAACTAAAGATAAAAACTTATATATCAGGTAGCACTAGCTTTTATTGGTGTTGTACAAGGTGCTAATGTGTTAGGACGCAGGTTCATACCGCCCCCTCGAACGGAAATAGTAGGGAACTTAACATTGCTTTCCCTACTCACGAGATTTGAGTCGATAAACACGGCAATCACGGTGATATCGTCGTGGAAATGCCTACGAACTCCACAGTCAATATCTTTTAAGTCTGAATATCTCATTTCTCTCTTCTTTGCCGCATCTTGAAGTGCGGCTCTCACTAGCCTCCTTGCAATTCCCTGAAAAGGTACAATAAGCCGCGTCAATTTAAATAAACCATGGTAAAATGATAGTGTTTTGTATCTTAAGGTTTGTATCTCACCGAGCGAGGATTGTTTTGAACTATATCAACAGCTTCTTGATTGCTAAGGTGCTCCCAGAGCCCGTCAGATGCAAATATAATAAACTGATCTTGTGGCTGCAGCTGGTGAACTGATATTGATGGTTCTGAGCTCAAAATTAGTGTTTTGAACGGCTCACAAAGCCGAAACTTTGCATATAAAGGTTCTCTATTGAACTCAACCTTTTTCAGATATACATCACCAATAGATCTAGATATCTGCAAATGTAAAAAACATGTAAGATAAAATGACGTCGTAAATGAAGAAGGGACAATCCAAACGTCCAAGTCGAGCTAATATTAGACCGATCCCTTACTTGTATTAGACCCTTGACACGCCATACATTATGCCTCAAAACAACAATGTGTGAATCGTCGGGGTGCATAGATTGCAATTCGTGTCTTATTGACTCTATAGTTGCATTGTATTCTGTTGACAATTGCAATTCGTGTCTTATTTCTAAAGTGTTAGTTTTTATGACAAGATTTAGACTTGTGCCCTCCGATGGTTGAAAATTCTCTAGACCTTTTTGAATGTTATCAACACTCATGCCCTCAAATTCCGGCCTCTATTCTTTTATTAAGAAGGCTCATCAATGCTTTCAAATCATCGACAACCTTTTGGTAATAAATAACTAAAATTTACACAATTAAGTTTTGTTCGATAAAAATAATGGTTGGTTGTTAAGTTAGCTGATAACTTATAACTTATGACTGATAGCTGATGACTGATGGCTTATAGTTTATAGTTGATAGCTGATGACTTATATCTAATAAGCTAATTAAAGTGTTTGGTAAAATTAGCGGTTCAAGTAGTTGATAAATTAAAATGAGACATTTAATATATAATAATTTTATTTTAAATTAAAATAAATTATATATGATAGTATTAAATTTTAGTTAAAATAATATAAATAAAAATGAAAGAAAAAATAATAACTTATAAGTTATAAACTAAAATATTATTTGAAATAAAATTTCAAAAATAAAATTTAAAAAATAAACTATAAATTAATAAAATAAACTATAAATTTGTGATGAAAAAATTCTTATCAGTCAGATATTTTAATGATATAAAATATTTGGTCAAATAAAGTCGATCAATATTTCTAGTGATAGTTAAAAACTTATAGGTCATATATTCTTTTGACAAAGTTTATGACGGAATAAACCTTAAACTAATATTAATTTTCACAAAATTTTGTAATATTTATTGTTTTTGTTTGTAATTCAATCTATGACTTTTTTATTTGAATTCTTTATGGTCATATCTTATATTTGAATAAATTATTATTTTTATTAATATATTTATTTGACTAAAAAATAAAACTTATATACGCTGCTTAGCCTATCCAATTTGATTTGCTTTGTAGGAACATTAACTTTTCTAGATATTTATATAGATTAGACATAAATTCAACGAAACCACGGTTTCCTCCTTTAGTACATACTGATTGAACAAAGAACATTATTTGTTTCTAATTATAAATATCAAACAATATGTAAATTATATCACAAGTCCTAAGTAATTTCTAAAAGTGCTCTCCCATGTGTAGTTACATTTTTCATTTTCTACGTTGTGCATACAAATTAGTATTGTAAATGTCATCACGTGAATGATAATAAATATGATAATTAAAGCTGAGAAAAGTAGGTTTTGGTGAGCAATATGCACGTGAATGAATAATGACCAAACAGCATCTTCACTCAAAGATCCTTTTCTCTAGTTTGTGTTCACATGCATCTACTCTTATGTCAACAGATTCTTATTTGGACCCATTTCACACCAATAATAATAATACCCTTTGACACTCTTCCACTATACTATATTGGCTGCTGCATGTTTTGATAAATTCCAAACATATGCTCTTCAAAATGTTAGTACCGACAACAACATGTACAATAAAATTCCATGATAGTTATAATTGTCATTTCAGTTAATTTTAATGTATATTTCTTTAAAAAGTATATTATAGTTATATAGTTTTAAGATTAAAATATTCCTGTTGTAAGAAAGTTAAAATATTATTATTTAATGTCGGTTATTCAAAATGTAGTGATAATAGCGTTTCAACTAATTAATTAAATAAGAATATTGTTGTTAAAAAAATTGAGATCAAGAAATATTTCAAATAAATGAGACAGGAGTCTGATAAATTTAATGATTATTAGTTATGTTGTTTAAAAAGTTAATTTTTTTTTAGGAGTAATCAAAAACAGTCTCAAATGATTTATTAAATGTCAGTAAATAATTTGTTCAAATAGTTTTTGTCCTCTCATGTGATTTTCTGACATATGTTATATAAGTCTATCAGATTAGGGGAGATTTTCACTAGAAAACATTGAATATTGTGAGATTTTTCTTTCTAGAGCAACACCTTTGTGAGAGACACACCACATACTCATCCAAAACCTTAAGGTGATAGATGTATGAGCTCTCTCACTTATAAATAAATCACCACATTCCTATCCAATGTGAGACTATTATCCACACTACTCAAACTTGTTAATACTTAACACTCCCTCTCAAGTGTGAGTCTATCCACAATAGCTTCAACTGTGCAACTGCACCCTTGTACCGTCGTTGACACTCTTCAACGAGACACTCAACCCACGATCTGTGGGGATACTTTCGATACAAGTAAGTCGGTCCCTTTACTCGAACCAAAGGCTCTGATACCACTGTTGGGGGAGATTTTCACTAGGGAACATTGAACATTGTGAGATTTTTCTTTCTAGCGCAACACCTTTGTGGGAGACACACCACATACTCATCCAAAACCTTAAGGTGATAGGTGTATGGGTTCTCTCACTTATAAATGCTCAAGTCACCACATTCCTATCTAATGTGGAACTATTATCCACACTACTCACACTTGTTAATACTTAAATATCCCTTCCTCCCAATAATCATGACAAATCCTTTCCTCTTCCTTTTTGTATTCATGGTCCAAAAATTGCCGTCGTTTAATCATTTAACTCTCTTTTTTAATGACTTGTAACACTTTCTTAATAATTGTGTCGTTATGACCCTTCATCTTCCGAAACCATTTCTAGATTATGTCCCTACCCCGATTATGACCTCGGACCATTAGGGCTCACAACCCGACAACATGAAAACTTCTAGCCTTATCTATTATCTAGCAAGTTCGAGTTCGAGTTCTAGTTCTGGCCACTACTACAAAACACGCAAACAACAACGTCAGGTTTACAACGGATTCATATACACCGTTGTAATAGGTTAAAATTTTTGTGCCCTTGATTTATAAACAGTAATTTAATGACGGTTGTCTTAAAAAACCGTACTAATAAATGATGTGTAGCAAGCTTCAATTTCCAGCAACTACATTTTTTCCATTTTTTATAGTATATTAAGCGTGTGTCACTTAAGTCCATTATTTAAAAAATAAATTATAAATGATTTTACAATGATTTAGTAAACCAACAGTTGTAAAATTTGAAATTTATTTAACCAACTTATTTAACAACGATTTTACAATACAACCGTTGTAAAATTTGAAATTTGCATCACAGTTTTTCTTTCTAACCGTGATGAAAAGTGATAGTTTTTAGTATATAAGCGGAAGTATTTATAGATCAGTACATAACAACCATTTCTCTCAAAAAAGAAAACTCTAACATAGCTTCACTATTCTCTCTCATAACATAACCCTAACATCCATGTCACCTTTTAAACATACTTCAACCTTCAGATACGTCTTCAAATTTGTCTTCACCAATCGCTAACTTGAGATTCATTCATTAAACTTATGCTTCGATTTTGTTTACGTTTCTTGTTAAAAATGGGTTCTCATTTTTTCATTTGGTGAATGTTCTTATTTTTTCAGATTCATCTTCACCACCTTAACAAGAGCAATACATATGTTTTGTGTAGTTGTGAAAAGAAATACAAGAAGTGTAAATCTATTGTGTAAACTTTATTCACCTTATATTTCTTCTTCATGGCTTCATAAACTAGATGAACTTCATAATTTCTTCGACATTCACAATTAATTTAAAAAAAGGTGTATCTTGAAACATTACATAATATCTTGTGTTATTGTATGTTGTTGATTAATGTTGTTATTGTTGATACATATGGTTTGTGTAGCTATGAAGAGAAACACAAAAAGTATGAAGCTATTGCATTAACTTCATTCACCTTGTACTTTTTCTTCATAGCTTCATAAATTAGATGAACTTCATAATTTGTTCGACATCCACGATTAATTTTTTAAAAAAGGTGTATCTTGAAACATTAATGTTGTTGTTTTTGTTTATTATATCTTACTTTCTTGATCCTTTTGAATTGTTTTTCGTCTTCTTTTCCCCCGATCACTGTTCTTCTTCTTCTCACCCAGTTTCTTTAAGTTTCCATCAAATCTTTATATTAAAGTGTCTCAGCAGTCTTGTTGTAGCCATGGAAGCAGGTCTTCAAGTCGTTCAAGGTACGTATACAAGTGTGGTCTCGATGCTCCATTGATGACGACATGGACCGATTCGAACCCAGGCCTCTGTTTCTATGGTTGTGGGATGTATAAGATTCAATGATACAAAAATGCTCTCACTTTGCTTGGTTGGATGGGGAGATGGATCCTAGGGGAAAATAAATAATTTCTTCACTGGTAAAGAACTTGAATGAGAAGAAGGAGATGGCTAACACCTACAAAGCCAAGGAGGACAAATTGAAGTTGAAGGTGAAGATCCTGAAGAAACAGTTGAATATTACTTGGATTTTTTTTATTTGTAGTGTTCATTGCATTTGTTGTAACAACAATGACAAAATAGGTTATACTTGATTAGGTTTGTATGTTGACTGATGGTGTAATGGTTGATGTATTGGTTACCTTGGATTCATGTGATGATGTTATGGTGTATTGAACATGATACAATTATTTGATATTATGAATATGATACAATTAATATTATTATGATAACTTTATCACAAATGTGAGTTGTATTTTTGTTGTGATATGGTGAACAATAATAGAGGTTTAAAAATGGGATTAATCATAAAAGCAGGATATTATTTGTTAATTCTGCAAAAAAAATTAACAACGGTTATATATCATAACCGTTATAATATCTCTTGCGCTGACTAGAAAAAAATACTTTATCACAACGATCTTTTGGAAAATCCGTTGTGATAGGGCGCGTGCTTTCTAGTTTATTACAACGGTTATTGGACTATGATTGTAAGTATCATATATACAACGATGCTCTACATACCAATGTTTGGGCCCGCGTGATTATATATCTTTCCCAACCGTTGTTAAATGGGTTTTCCGTAGGAGTGGTTTCACCTAAACCATCCTTATTTCATCATAGACTTCTTTCCATTTTATACATCGACTGGTCAAACCAATTTTTGGGATGTACATAAGCCCCCCGAGCATGAAATCTAAATGATTGAAATGTTCAGACAAAAGAAGCCTGAAAATTTTATTTTCATCAAGGGTTGAGATATTCCTCTACCCCATCATCTCTTTGTACCCTTCTTTAGTGATGTGATCAATCATGGTAGACGTGGGAGTGTATCTTTATCAGATTC